CAAAAAGCAAACTTAATTATATTATTTTATATATTTTTTTATTAATTTTCTCTTGTATGACTGTAAGGTGTAAATGTATATTAAGTTTTCAATCTTTATTGTGTTCAAATTAAAACTTGATTAGTTTAAGCTGTGATGTGAAATGAGGAAACAACAGACCTAAATATTAAACACAACACAATTAAACCAAGGAAGTTTAACCCTTTATAGGACAAGTTACCATTTCTGATCACTTGCATACCCCTTACAAATGGAGTACCCCCGTCCCTCAGTGAGCTCTAGAAGCACAAGATCTATATCCAGCCATTCAGCAAAGATACTGCTACATGGCTGTACATCTTATTTTGGCATTTGACCAATAAGGTGAGCCATTGAATGATACATTACCTACTGTACTGTAAATTAAGTTGGAAAAAAAAAACAGTTAAAAAGTCAAGGAAAAAGGTAAAAAGTCAAGGAAAAAAGGTAATAAGTTTATGAAAAAGTTAAGTCAAGGAAAAAATGTAAAAAGTTAATTACAAAGTTAAAAAGTCAAGAAAAAAGTTTAAAAGTCAAGAAAGAAAGGTAAAAAGTTAACTAAAAATTTAAAAAGTCAAGGAAAAAAGTAACAAGCTAATAAAGTAAAAAAAAGGTAAAAAGCTAAGTGAAAAGTTATAAAGTAACATTAAAAAGTTAATAAGCCTAGTTAACAATTATATTTAGGTTTCTGAACCAAAAAATTAAAGTGCCAGTATCAGCATTAATGCCTCTAAGGTTATGCTGGACCAAAAAAAAAATTCATTTCACTCTACAGTAAGAGTGTTTTTCATAAATTTCTTATAGAAGTGCTTATTTTTGTTATTTTTCTTAATATAGTCGGGCGAGTTGGTGTTGTTATTACACTGACATTCATTTTTGCCATCAAAATGTTCCAAAGCTAATAAGGTCTTGTCCTGCATTTCAATAATGCTATTGGCTTGAAATGTGGATTTTCAAAGGATATCACTGAGTGCCCTATAAAGGGTTAAAGATACCAAATAGGAAAGGGAAAAGAAAATCTAGACTTACATGGCTATGCGTGAAAAAGTGACTGATCAGGGGAGGAATCTGTGGAGTTAGAGATGGACAAAGACATTGCATGTAAAACGGATGCATTATAATGAAGATGGGGGGGGGGAGTAGAACATAAGGATCTCAGAAAACAAGAGGAGTTTGAAAGAAGCACCAGTAAAAACACAGAAGAATGGAGAACATAAAAATTATAGGGAAGCAGCAACAACTGGAATAAAATGGTTCTGATGACCTTTTAAATGAGTTGTGGCATTCTCGTCATCAACTTTTTCTCATCAAAATAAGAAACCAAAACCTGCAGTGTATCTGAAATTAACATAGCCATAAGTTGTTGATGTTTTCAGTTTTAAGGGCCATTAAATGTAAGTCCTAATCAAAATAAAACTAATAAATAAACTAGTTACCTATTTATTTTCTGACCTTCAGCTAAAATCAAGCTTTGGCAAACACAACCAGTACAATAGTTGTGAGTAAAGAACCTAGTTTCACTGTATTGCTAGAAAACATAGCTAATCTTAAAATTGTTTGTTGTCAGCTCAGATGGTTGACTTTCCTAGTTCTTATTGGCTGAGTGGTGTTTGCCCTGTTTTCTATCTACTGATTTTTTTATCTATCTGATATATTTTTCTGTAATTCTCCATGAGATTTAGCTGACGTCTGTAGAAACAGGATTTCCTATAGGCATTCAGTTAGAATATTGGTTTGTCTCCACTCCACATGTTTCTGATTTACTTGGAGACAACTTGGTTTGAGATGGACAGGGGATCAGGGGATGTCAGAGGGCATAAAACACAAACATCCAAAGCTGCAGATTTAGATTCTCTTGAAAAATAAGTTTCACAGTGTTCATAAAGAAAATCAATTCAGCAGCAGCAGAAGCATGAATGAGAGATGAAGATAAAAGATCTGTTCTGTGGCTGAAGTTGGGGGGTGGGGTGGGGGGAGTCACTTTTTTAAAGAACATTGATTTTTTTTAGTGGGAAGTTTTTTTTAAAGGCAGATTTTATGACCAGTAAGTATCTAAATTGTTGTCACAGATGTGCATCAGCACAGATTTTCCTAGAAAAAAATATGTGCTGGAAAGTTTACAGCCCATTGTTTCTTGACTATGAGTCATCTTGCAGCGGTTTGTCTGTAGTACACAATCATAGGTTGTTGAGGTCTGATTGAAACATACAGAATACAAATGACTATATGCCACTTTACAATGTTTTTTCTGCCTCTACATCCTGCCCATCCACCTGCACATTCTAATGAGATGATCGCTGCACACTAATACCAGACTGTGATCACATCGCATGCTTGTCCCATGCATGCACTTTCCTCTCTTTGTCACCCTGCAGCTTCCCGCTCACACACAGAGGCCCAGCCTGCTTCCTGCAGATGAATGCAGGGAGGTGTGCTTCCAATTATAAGCCTTATCCAGGGTTAAACACACTCTCTGCTGGCCACCACAGTCACCATGATTAATGGTACAAGCGTTCATGCAGCCACCCCTGAAACCCGCCAGGGGAGAAAATGTTTCCACTTTTTGTGGCTGTAAATCAGGAAAGCATGGCTGCTTGCTGCTGTTCACTTGCACCCTGACAGGAAAAGGAGAAATATTCACAGGAATTCATCAAAGGCACATGCCATTTAGACTTAATTATTCTGTTTGTTGTTCTATTTAATATTAAATCCATTCTTACTTGTCAGAAAAACTGTAACCATTGATGGAAAACCAAGATAATGTAGAATTTTGTGCAAAAAAATGAATCCTTGCTTTTTTATATATAATATTTTGCCAAAGTTTTCTAAAACTCATTCTGCTGAACTCATCAACGTTTTGCTCAATTAAGCTACAAACTTTCCCATAAGGACATTTTCTGTGTGAAATCAAAGTCAAAGTCAGACGGAAAGAGGGCTTAATTTTCAAAACTTTTTCATAAATAAAACCTGCAAAAATGCATTTTACTGCAATTACAGCTGCTTCTACATACTTTTTGAACAATAAGAAATATATATTTAGACTCATCCTTTTTTGCAAAATGACTCATCCAAAGTCAGATAGGGAGTGAGCATTTGTGATCAGCAACTGTTTTAGTTTTTCGACTGATTCTCAATTTGATTTGAGATAGGATTCTGAAATGGCCATTCTCACATGTAAGTTTTAGCATTTAAGTTCTGACTATCTATTTAGTATTGTTTAGGTTTTTTTGCAGCCTCCTAAAGTTAAATTGGTTTTTCAACATTGCCATGTATTTAACTATATCAATCTTCCTTTAAACTCTCTATATTCATAGTCCTTTCTGGTGAAAAGCATCACCACAGCATGGTACCTCCACCTCCACATTCTAGGGATAGATGGTGCGTTAGTTTTCCTTCACCCATCTAGTTTCTTACTATTCTTCTAGAAATGCCAAATATGTAGGGTTGACAGCTAATAGTTAGCCTGCTAACAGATTCTGCCATCTGAGTTGGAGCTTTCTGGAGCTCCCTTTGAGTTACAGTGAGCCTCTTGCCTTTCCTATTAATACTCTCCTTCTATCCACGGTCTTTCCGTTTAGGTGGAGAGTTTTTTGATAGTTGTGCAGCTGAGCTCATTTCATAATCGTTCTTTCTCACACTCTTTCTTTTTCCTACCAGACATATGGTAACTCAGCTTTTAGCATCTCTACAGCTTTGACCCTGACCTATCTGCTGAGTTCCTTGGTCTCCACAATCCTGTTACATTTCAAATATTCTCCAATAAACCCTTGAGGCATTGACAGAACAGATGTGTTTACATTTCCTTTCATTTAAGGCCTCATTCTAAATCAATCTATCACATAAAATCACAGTAAAATTAAATCAAGTTTGCAGTGCTATTGTGATAAAATATTAAAGTATTCAAGTGGAGTCATGTCCACAGGGCTGTGTGCAGGTTTGAGTGTGTGTGTACCTTACCTTCTCTAATTGTAAGGTGTGGGCAGCAGGTGTGTCCCCACCGTTGGAGCTAATTTAGACAAATCAGGAGAAGATTAAAAGGACTGGATCCTTTTATGCAGAAGTCTTACTCCAGTTCTAATTTTAACCTCTGACCTCCTCCTGTCTCAGAGTGTTTTGGCGAACTCACAGCTGAATCTCCTCCAAAGTATCTCCTCAGCGCTCCTTTGGTTGCTCCTCCTGGGATATGCTCTCTTAAACCCTCCACATCATCATTACTACTCAACTGCTGTCGGTGTCATGTCACTCTTCTCTCTGGAAACATGGATCAAACATCATCAAGAACACACTCCACAACTTGCCAACATTGGTCCCTAGCCTACCCTAGCTCTCTTATGACAACCTCTTTTCTTTCTACAACAGTAAGCCTAAACTTTTTTTAGTCATCATCACTGGAAGTACTATCCAGCATCACCTCGTCCAATAATTACCTCTCCTCCTCAGTGGCAATCTCCAACCAGCTCCCCAATCATTCATTGCTCTGTCAGTAAAGCATTTATATCATGATCTGTTGTCCATAGCTGTCTGCACCAGGGTCTCACAAACAAAAACCACAACAAGGAGTATAAATACTCACTCTATATTTTTTACATAACATTTTATTAACTTATATCTTAAACAGTTTGTATATATTCAAAAATGTTAAAAATGGCTCTGCCTGCAAATAACGACTTCCTGTGAGCCTGTAAGCTGCATGTTAGAATAAAATCCAGTAGAAATTATATGTCAGAAATAAGTTAATTACCTTAATCCGTATATTATATGATGTCAGTTGAAGCATTTTGTAATGAGAAATTCATACTACAAACATGTTGTGGTGTTGTAGATCCACATTTCCTGTGAATTTTTGCTGCTGCCATATGTCCCCTCTGCTTGGTTCAGAGCCAGCTTTAAGTAGCAGCTGAAGGATCTATATCCATCTTTATATTTAGAAACAACAGTGTCACAAGATGTCTGTGTAGGGAGATGGTAAACACCACCCGCTGGTTCACAGGGTATATAACGGCACCAACTGTGAGTTGGACTTGTACCCTAAAGCTAAGCCTAAACAAAAAAATATCTGCTCCTCAACCAAATCGCAGTGTCTTTCTTTGAGGGGTCTCAAAGATTGTCTCTACAAATGGCACTACACGTTACCAAGATATCCAACCAAGGTGAGTGAAATATTTTAAGTTACTTTTTGTAACTTATATGACTGATATGTAACTTATGAAGCTACCTCCCAATAATTCTTTATAAGCTAGCTATAGTGAGAAACCATTCAGATGGACCTGGTTTTACCAACTGTTTGATAAATAAATTTTTTGTGGTACATTGTTTATTTTAAATGTAACAAAATCAAAATGATTACATTGTTGCAAACCAGCAAAACTTGTATTCCCTAATTGAATGAGTAAAAAATACAGATACAACAAAGAATCTGTTTTCGATTTCAATTACTAACTGTCTTTAACGTGGATTTGATTTTTTTTTTCTTTTTTGATAGATTTTATCATCTGACAAAACTACTCATACGTTTCTTGACTTTACGAATAGAATAGACATACCTCATTGAGAAAACCTGGTTGTGACACTGGCAAAAACTAAACAAAGTAGATAGAGAAACAAAGGACATAAAAAAGATCTATGCAGCAGAAGGTAAAACATCTATTGGATTAGAAAGGCAGTTTTTAGCAATGCTGCATTATAGCAAGAAGGTTCTGGGTTTGATTCCCAGCCTAAAGTCTTTCTGCATGGAGTTTGCTTGTTCTCCCTGTGCATGCTGGGGTTCTTTCCAGGTACTCCGGCTTCTTCCCACAGTCCAAAACTTGACGGTAAGGTTAACTGGCATCTCTAAATAGTCCTTAGGTGGCATGCGTGTGTGTGCATGGATGTATTTTTTATAGCCCCATTTACACTACCTTTTTGAAACCATTCCGGGATCGGTCCGAGTACGGTAACTGAGATAACCGTTAAGTGTAAATGGTACCCAAAACTGAGCCGGACCATGCCAGACACAACCAAACCACGCTAAACTGGTTCTAGTTCATCAGTAGGGCTCAGTTCTCAGATGACGATGAGCACATGAACAGACCTTGTCATCTCCTTACAGTCAGCCTCCCTCAGCAGGAAATTTCTGACATTCATAAAAATACTAGCTTCCCTACCGTGCCACACAATTTCCAGTGATGATTCTGCTTAGCAGTGTGACGAACCTTAACTCCTGTCATTATTTCCTGCGTCTGTGAGCCCTGATTTGACTATCATTTGTCGTATTCACTTGCCAAAAGCCGACTCTGTCAAGTAAATTCACCAAACGCTGCCTTCTTCGCCTGACTCTCCACAAACAACAAATTATCATAATAATAACCAAACTTCCTTATTGTTACAGACACGGCATGTTGATTTGCTTGATTCCCTTTAGAGAGCAGTAGTACCGTAGGTCGTCACTAGGAGGCCCAGGAGCCGTGTGTAAACAGTCGTAAGGAACCAAGCTTGGCATGGTTAACTGATCCGAGCTCCTAAGTCCAAACGAGATCCTGTAGATTTTTTTTTCTTTTTAAATATTTTTATTAGGAATTAATGCACATTACAATAGAATTGTATAACCACTTCAGATTTGGTAACACACCATTTCTGTAAAACAATTAACATGTACATGTTGACACCATACAAATATCGTGCATCTCGAAGAATTAAGAATAAGGCATAGAATCAACCTCCTAGGGTGTTTTTATTAATTTGGTGGCACGAACAGTACACCATGCAACTCAAAAGATAAATAAAATAATGGATATTGTAAATAATGGATATTGTAATAGTAACAACTACATAAGTAAAAATCCTATATAACAATAATTAAGTATAGATAGAGCCCACAAATATAATATAAAATAAATAAATGTAAAAAATTAAGAAGAAGAAGGGGGAGTCCATCAGAACAAGGGGCTGTCTTACAACTTTTCCTGAACATTTAAACACATACTTAGAAAATATGCCTCATATTCTCTAAATTCTACACACAATAAAAAAAAAACACAAGCAATCTTCAAAACCCTTCAACTTTACTTTCAAAACAATATTCATCATTCTCTGAGCTTATTTCACTTGCAAATGACAAACCATCAAACAGCATTTATAAGAACAAACTGAACATTGCCGATCAGTGTGAAACACCATGGTGAAAGGAAATAACAACTTATGACCTTTCTCTACTTGGTATTACACCTGCTGGAGGTAAGTGTGTTGTAAAATTCCTTACATCATGTTTTTGACTGGCAAACTCAGAACACACTAAACAGTATATCTTATAAACTGTAGAATATTTTATTTTTTCCACAAAAGATCTGATCCTACATACACAAAATTATATAGTGGTACACCCAAAAAATGTTTAAGGCTTTGGTACAGGGTAAGCCTACTTTAAAAAAAAAAAAGGAAAAAAAAGGTAAGTTTGTGGTCAGCAGTTTGTTTAATATGATATAAAACCTATATCCCTATATTTCAAGTGTGCTTCTACATAAAATAGGAAAACTCTTCAAATAAAGCCTTAGCAGTGGAGCACTTTTGTGGTATTAACATTTAAAATCAATCAACCAATCAATCAGCCAATCAGTCAACAGATAAATACATACATACTATGATGATAAAGAGGCACTGATTATTTAAAAAAAACACAACCTTACTCCACAAAGAGAATCTAGAAAAATTTTATGTAAAATAATAAACCATTGCATGTATTAAAATTGTCTGAATCTTCTTAGTTTTTCTTCTTCGCAGATTTAGAGCAGACCCTCAGTGACAGCTGTAGTCTGTCCAGGAAATTTATTTTTAGACAGCAACACAACGCTGACAACATTCCCATCTTAACTTCTTCAAATATTTCTGGTGACACTCAATAACTCGCTAGGGTGATATTAACTAGCAGACAGGTGTAGAAATAGACTGTATGAACAGAGTATAGTTACAAGAGGCAGCTACTGTGAACCAGTTTCCAGATTGCCAAATGTCACTAAGTGTCGCTATGATTGAGCACAACTTGAAAAGAGGAAACCAAACTGAAAATTACTTTAAACATTATCTTAGGAAGAACTCCTCTGTTGGTAATGAGAAGAGGCCTTAAAATTCCTAAAACATCACAAACAAAATACCATTTAATAGTGTCCCTGCCAACATTATTTATGGTGCCTCAGGCTGACTGGTTCGGTTTTCTTCTGAATAGAGGTGAGAGGTGAACACTATCTGAATAGGTTCTTCATGATCAAAAGAGACATATGGGGGTAAGCGAATGCTTCAAAGTTCAAAGTACATACTTTTAAGAGGTGTTGGAGGTGCTAAAAGCTATATTTGACTTTACTACTTGCTTAAAAGCCAAGCAAATGACTGAGAGTATTGCTATCCTTAATTCACTCCTATAAATTAATAGATCTCCACCCACCTATAAAAAACAAATATCTTAAGAGTCTATGAAATCCTCATAAACATGTTAAAATATACGAATATGCACCTATGTCCTTTCAGGTTTAGTGAATATATTTTAAGTTAGCATACCGTATTCTGGTCAGATTACTCCTCCATGTAAGAATTTTTTGACCTCTGCAAAAAAAGAAGCCATCTTAAAAATGTATTAAGAAACTGTGCTTTATCTTCAACATCTTATTGTGGTAATATTTCACTTAATCAAGTGCAAGGAAGCCAGTTAGAGTAGGTCTAAAGATGGTTGGAGCCGCACTTCAGCGCAAAAGTGTGTTCCGTATATACTATAGAGAAGGTTTGCCCACCAGCATAATAACAAAATTAAACATGTAGTCAAAGCTCCAACAGCATGGATCATATCAAGACATTGTTCTTGTGTTAGAGTGGCCTAGTCAAAGTATAAATGGAAGCTGCAATTGCACACACAGACACACACACACACACAAAAACTGTTTCTAAATTTTTAATGTTCTGAGCTGTGTCTAATATTTTCTCCAAAACCTGAATTATGATCCCAGCCTAATTAAATCTTATTCTGTATTAATTCAGTCAATGGAAATTATAGCATACTCCTGCACAGACAGCATGTTTTCTCTTCTGTGCAAGAGTTTTATAATACGGTGCCAAAAAGAATCATGAATAAACAAGATACCCGTGTGATACACTTGTGATCAACAGGACTTGGCATAGCTGCACAGTTGGTCACAGGAGCATCATCCCACTGATGCAATGTTTTTAGCTTACATACCTATTCAAGTCGCACTGTAAATTAACAGCATCTTTTGGAAACACACTATTTGGCATACTTTAGAATATTACACATAGGTTCTAAAAACTGCAAGCACCTTCCTGCGTATTGTTATTAGCTAATGAATCATAGAAAGCAGCCAAAATATCCATAAACACAGGAAGTTGTATTGAATATGAAGGCAAAATCAGTCATGCTGCTATGGAGTCGAGGTCAATGTAATATTGTTGATCATAGGAAGCTTGTCTCAGCTATTAACAATGACAAAAACAAACAGAGGTGGGATGTTTGTGGCTGAATGTTGTGGTGCAGGACAGCAACAACCAAAGGCAGGGTTTTCCTCTAGACATCCCTGAATTTGGAGACATGAAAGAAGCACTTGGAGGTGCCAGCATTCATTTCAATACACAGAGGTGTTGCAAAAAAAAAAAAAAATCACAATTGACTACCTTTTCTCCTTTGTTTAGAATCTCAATTGTTCTTTAAGGATCCCTTGAGTGAACAATGGAGGTTCTTTATTTAGGGTGCGGCTGAATACACTTAAAAACAATATAAAATGTCTCAGGTGCAAATTTTAAAGATTAACAGACCAAGAATGATATCATCTGGTCATAGGCATACATTTTAGACGCATGCATCCCTTTACGGTTTAACATTTATTAAATGAAATATAATGCTTGGAATCTTACATACATGCATTATAATGCATAGATTTCGATGTCAAACAAAACAAATAACTTGAAATAAACGATAGCGGAAATATGCAATGTAGGAGATTACTGATCTTTCTCCATTGCATGCAAGTAATATAAGTGTAAGCATGCAAGTAATTATTTACATGGAGTCTAGTGACACCTGGTGGTCAGAACAGGGAGAGAAATATCCAAATTTCATAATCAAAACCTTTCAACGATTAAGCAGACAGACAGACAGACAGACAGACATACAGAT